CAGGGCCCGGCCAGGGCCGGGGGCGGGGGGGCCCGCTCCGGCCACTGCCCCGGATCCCCGCAAGTCTCTCGGCGCCCTAATCTGCGGAACCCGGCAGCTGTCGTGCCCTGGTGGGGGTGGCGCAGCGGCAGGGCTGTGCCGCGGGCTGGCCCGGGGTGCACGAGGTGTGCCGAGTGCTCCCGCCTCTCTCCCCTGGGGGTGTCCCAGAAGAAGGCCCCTGGGCTCCCAAGGGTTTGGGGTCTGAATCTCTGCTCTGCCACTGGGCCATGTGGCCTTGAAACGTGGCCTTGGACCTCTCCCTGCACCTCCTCTTTGAAAACTGGGAGTGACATCCATCCCCTAGTCCAGCAGGGTTACTGCCCAGAGGGAGACCAGCTCAGGTCTGGGCCCGGAGGAGGTGGCCTGGGTCCAGACTAGAGTTGTTATCTGTCTCCTGGACCAGAACATCAGCGCCATGGGGGCAGTGAGCTCACCAGGCTAGGTCGGTATCTCCTGGCACATAGTAGGTACTCAAGGAGTGGTTGTTGAGTGAGTTAATGAACGACATCACTGGTTAACGTTTACCCCGTGAGCCCGGGCACTGTACCTTCTCTCATTCAATCTTATAACTAGGAGGTGGGTTTCACCGTAATACCCATTTCAGAGATGCGGAAACTGAGGCCGGGAGGGGCTACATCGCTCCCCGCTCCCCCAGGTGGTACAGCCATTCAGTGGCAGAGCCACCAAACAGGCAGCTCTTAACCCAGACCCCGTCCTGCTGCCCTGGGAAAGTCATGGCTCCTGAACCTCAGTTTCTCCATCCATTAAATGAGGACAATTCTGCATGCTGTGAGGTGGGATTCTGGGTCACCACAGGAGGCCTGAGAGCTTGGGGAGCCCTGTCCCCAGTCCCCACCCACCCTGGGGCCCCATTACCAGCTGACGAGAAGGGCAGCTATGCAGCTCCAGGTGACACAGCCTCCCCCGGGCGGGGGGCTCTTGGCGCCGGGGGGCTCGGGGGGCCGGCAGCAGCAGACTCGGATGAGGTAGGCAGCAATGAGAATGAGGCTGAGGCCCAGACCCAGGCCGGCCAAGGCCGCCACCAGAAACAGGGCCTGGGGAAGGGGCGACATCAGGCCTCAGAGGGGCTCGGGCTCCTTCCCTGCCTGGCCGGAGGGGGGGCACCCGGGGTCTCGGCGGAGGAGGGAGGCATCCCTGGCAGACTGGGGGCCAAGCCCACCCTGTGGCCGTCAGGTTTGTGGGGAGAGATGGGGGCGGGTGGGGGAGCCTGTTCCTGGAGATGTGTGTGAGGCTGGGGGTGGCAGGCTTTCTCTTCCCTCCTCCCTGCTGGTCCTCCCCACTCACTGCTCACTCTGTGTCCCCTGCTGCTGAGCTCTGCACGCCCACCACAGCGTGAGCTGGTCACCCAGGGACTCATGGGGAGGGGGCGTGACAGCCCCACAGTGTGTGTGTGTGTGTGTGTGTGTGC